CTTCATGCAGGGAGCCTTCCCCGCAAGACTTGCCCACCCCAGGTTCCTGCCCAGGATCACCAGAAACTGGGATCACCAAACATCAGCTAAAATCAAGAGGATCTTTGCTGAGCCTCCCTGCCCTGACCCTAGGTAGCAGTTATGAAACTCAACTGAGAGAGATAACCAGATGAGTTAGCAAAGGTACTGACAGAGCAGGCCAAGTGCCAGATGGAGCCATGAATGAAGAACACAGACGGACACTGCCTTACCCGAAAATGATGTGAATGACACGGCAGGGTCTAACTGGTCATATTTGGTGAAAGCAGCAATGCTGAATCTGCAGCAAAACAAAGCCTAAGAGTTAGTTCAGGCCACATGCTGGGAGTAGGCCTGGCGTGACCACCATCAGTAAACAGAAAGAAGATGGCATCTGGACATGGCAATCAGCAATAACAAAGTGGCTTCAAAGTCAGCGGGGGAGAAAAGAGCTGGGAAGCAACACAGCTCGTTGTGAGAGGGAACAGAGGGCCAAAGCTACCTGGAAAGTTTTGATCCTTTCCCACCAGAACAATCCTGCTTTGACATTTTCCTATTGAGAAATTCTGTTTTTCTTACAGGGAATTTTGAGGATGTGGGGAAGGGTCATGTATTACACTTCCCTATCCTCTTCAAGTATTTTCCAGGTGGGAAAACAGTAAGACAATTTGAGAAAGCACGGGCAGAAAAAAACCCACTCGAACTGCTATTTTCAGACAGAAACCAACATCTTCACTTTTTAAAGTTAAAGTGTCACTTTCTTTTCGAAAAATCACATTTACAAACCTGGTAGCTGTTTTGCCAAGTGGCATAAGTTAAAAAAAAAGTCAGAAAGTGGGGAACCCATTATTTTGAAATGAAAATGGATGATCCCCCACCATAAAAAAACAATTTCCAACAAATGGAACAATTTGAAAATGCCCATTCTGCACTCCAGGGGAGATCTTACTTGTGTTTCTGCCTTTTGTATCTCACTTTGGTTTGTGCCTCTTTCCTGTCTTACAAGGAGGCTCAGACATCTGTGCTCTAAAGAACTCTGTATAGCTTCAGCCAGAGCCAGCACAGCCGCCTACGAACATGGACACACACATATTATGTCACCCTTGTGCCTCCACTAAGACCAGACAGAACCAAAGCCCTGATTTCTAGAACAGGCTCCAGCACGTCCTCACCAGATTCAGCTCCCAATTAGTTTTTTCTGTTTTGCTCACCAATAGGAGTGAAAGGGGAGTTTAGTCTCCACGGCTGATGTTGTCCTTGGCCCTCTCTATCATGACTGAAATCCAAGAGGCCTCAGATAACTATCAAGGGTGCTGGGATCCCCCTGGTCTAATATGCTCTCACCCTGAGCAAGAAGACTGCAGTGTCCCCAGGACTGCAGAATGTTTGTCATTGTGTCCACTTCCCTTGGAGGTGACAGCTAGGGTTACCACGCACCCAGGTTTTCCTGGACATGTCCCCTTTTCAGATCCTCCCATCTCCATCCAGGCGGTTTTTTAAAATACCAGCAAATGTCCAGGATTTTGCTCTGCTCAGCATCAAAGTAATTCTTGGCACTTTTTGCTTGCCCTAGCAAAGAGCTGCTTGGGGCTGGGGAGAGCTCAGGGAGGGCAACTGGAGGCAGGGGGCATCACATGTGTCTGGGCACAAATGCACGTGGCCAGCATACAGCCCAGCAGGGTGGTGGGAGCAGCCCCGGCAGCTTCATGAAGGTAAGTCTATGGGGGGCAGGAATTGGAGAGCCAGGGCTTATGGACTGTCGAGGGTGTGAGGAGGGGATGGGTGTGTGAGGGCGGCAGGTGCCTGCTGGTGCTGGGCTAAGCTGTCCAGGTGCTGGGGCTGCAGCAGGGCAGGGGAAGTGGGGGAGACACTTGCCCCTCCACTGGGGGAAGGGGGCGGGGGGACCCTTCAGGGGCAGCAGGGAGCTGCATGGTCTGGCCGGTGGCACTGGGGCTGGTGCCCGTGCTTGCAGGGGCAGGACAGCCGGGAGACGTTGCAGGACTGCGGGGGCAGGGGCCTGTGGGTCAGGACTTGGGGGAAGGGAGGGGCACTGTGGCTTGGGAGTGAGGGGCAGAGGCAGGCACAGGCATATCATTGCCCCCCAATCATATTACATACCCCCAGGTGTCCTCTTTTTTGAAACTGGAAGTATGGTAACCCTAGGACAGCATCACCCACTAAGATATTTGTTTATCTGAAGCATCCTGCAGAAGGGCACACTCAGCTTTGCTCTGCTCATCACAGCACCCCAGGGCTCCCTGAAGCAATGCTTCTGACCAAGTACCTCACAAACACCCCTGGACAGATGGACCTCCCTCAAGTGCCCTGCAGTCACTTTCATACTTGGATGATGGGTTTGTGGGTGCATTTCCCGCTAGCCCATCGTAAGGTGGGTACCCTGGGAACCTGGCATATTAGGAACCAGTGGGAAGAAGGCAAGGTAGATTTCACCTTATCAACTAACTAAATCAGAGATGCATAAGCTTCTGCTAAGTGGTCAGTTTGTGCTTGACATCCATGATCAGCTGACTCTGGTCAGCTCCCTAAATTAGTTATTTGCTCTCCCTTCCTCCAACCACTCCTTGCATTCAGCTTTCAGTTCATTTCCTTCATCTCATAGTCAAAGGATCCCATGTTTTTTTCTCTATAGTTACAGAGAAGGGCTGGCTCAGGGCTCCAGATCACCAGAGTGCTGCTAGAAAGAGCAGCAGCGCCTACAGTCGAAAGACAGATGTATTTGGGGTAAGATGTGTTTAGGCTGCTGATGGCCAGGTCCCTGCTGCCCTCCCAACACCTCACCATGTTCTCACTAAAAATCAGCATTCTTTTTCCCTGCCCCGCACAGCATCCACCAGGGAGAAATCCTCTGCTGCACTGACCTGTACTGGACATTTGCCTTCAGCTTCCCATTGCAGGTCTTTCGGGAATGGCCACACTCCTCCGTTCCCACTGGCACGGCCCATGTTTTGGGAGTGCTCCTATGGCTTGGGTGGAAAGGATTGGGGATAAGCACAGCGAGGTATGAGTCCTCCTGCCCATAGTAATGGTCATACCAGGTGGTGGTCACAATCTCCTGGGTGGGCCTCAGCACTGCAGTGAAGGACACAAGAGCAGCAGAAGTGTGAATCCTTGTGCCGAAGGATTAGGTGCAGCTGGAGCAGAGTGAAGGGCCCAAGGCAAAGCAGGCACTTACATGACTCATTGGTGGTGGCGATGACACCGTAATACTGGATCCGGCCATTCTCCTCGCTGAACATGTCAGAAGAGATGACAACTCTGGAGCCAGCCTCGAACTGGAGGATATCTGCTCGAACCGGTGGGGGTAGGACTGGAAGGGAAACCCATCAAGCACAGGCATATTACTGATAGGCTAGGGCATTATGCATCTTACCTGGGGCTTGTATCTGCTTCCACCCCACTGCCCCGGAGCAGCAACCCCACTTCATGCCAAGCCTGAGCCCAAAAGCCTCATCTGAGCATAAAGTGCTCTGCTCTCTGGAATAGGGCTCTGTATTGTGGGCTCTGGGCCAATCTCCATGGCATGCAAACACCTGGTGGAGACAGCACATGCAAGATGGAGACCTACCTTCCACTGAAGTGTTGCAGAGAAGAGTCACAGCCCAGCTCCGCATCCCATTCCTGCCCAGCACTCTCAGGCTGATTCGGTATGAAGAGTTTGGCACCAAGCCCTCCAGACTGGCCTCACTCCCAGGAATGCTCATGTGGATCTCAGGCTGGAGAGCTCCACCGGACGGTCTCTCTACCATGAGCTCATAAGCCTCGACGTCTCCACTGGGCACGGTCCAGTTCAGGTAGAAGGCCTTGGAGTCAGGCAGACACTGCATGTCCTTCACCGGGTTGGGTTCTGAGAAAGAGACACCTCTAAGCAGGGCAGCTTCCTAACTCCCCAGAGCACCAGGGGTTGGGGCAACACCAGCCCCAAACTGTGCTGTACCCCAGGGCTGACACAAGCCTGTACAGCGGAGCTGACCAAGGACACTGACAGAGGCACAGAACTGAATGCCTGCATGTTGGGGCCCCGTACTGCATGGCCCAGGGATGGCACGGCTTGCACAGGACTTGGGCAGGAAGAACATAGCCCTGGAGAAACAGGCCAAGGAAGACACTGTCCTGTAATCTGGTTCAATACACAAAGTCCTGTCTGGCTCAGTGGGCACCTCCAGTGCAGGACTTGTTCCAAGGGTCCACAAACCCCTAGTACATCCCATCACAGATAGGCCACATCTTGGGCTTTGCTGCTGCCTTGTTAAGTGATCTGTAGTGGTGCCAGAGGACTGGAAGAGGGCCAATGTGGTTCCCATCTTCAAAAAAGGGAGGAAGGAGGACCCAGGAAACTATAGGCCAGTTAGTCTTACCTCGATCCTGGGTAAGCTTTTTGAGAGAATTATTCTGGCACATGTCCACGAGGGGCCAGCAGGGGAGATTAGGCTTAGGGGCAACCAACACGGGTTCATTAGTGGCAGGTCCTGTCAAACCAACCTGGTGGCCTTCTATGACAAGATCACCAAATCCTTAGATGCAGGGGTAGCAGTGGACATAGTCTTCCTGGACTTTTGGAAAGCCTTCAACACTGTCTCTCACCCTGTTCTCATTAAGAAACTGGGGGACTGTGGTGTCGACACCCACACAGTCAATTGGGTC